TCAGTAATTAATTTTTCTAGATACGTAAATTTTTCTTTAGAATTTTTCATAGCATTTTTCATGAAAGAACTTGGGAATTTAAATTTCACTTTATTTTAAACTTAATAAAGATTAAGGATTTGTCATTTATGGCCCGTAGTATTTACAAGCTGAATCTGTTTAATACAGTAAAGCTTGCGTTAGGTCTAACAAGTCAGCGTTATAAATAACCACGGCTTGTGTCCCGTTTTTATAAAGTGTTTAGGAGTTTAACAAGCTAACCTGTTAAATACAGTAAAGCCTGTGTTAAGTTTTACAAGTCAAAGTTATAAATAACTACGGCTTGTTTTCATTATTAGATATTGGGAAATAGAAACATAGATTTTTGGGGTGTTTTTTCATTCTGTTTTACGCTACGATTTTTCTTATTTAATTTATTAAAACTTTATTTATTATTGTTTATTTGGTATGAATGTGGTGTTAATGTCGTCGTTTGAAAAAAATTGTTTGTTGATAATACATTTAATAAATATAATTGTTTAATGTTTATAATCTCATGTCTTCTTTGCGAATGGTACATTTATGAAGGAAGTTGAGTTAAATCAAATACCACACACAGTTAGCAGAACCGCTAGCGTTACACTTTTCTAAACAGTATTTATCATTACACCTATTGAAAAGCATTCCTTTAAAAATTATTGTTCTACTTGGCATGAATTTAAATTAAATTCAGTTTTTGCAAAAATATATTATTACATCATAGGAGGATGGAAATACCTTAATTTCAAACTGCATGAAATATATCTGAACGCTATTGCAGAATTGCACGTATATTAAAAGTAAATTTCTTAATTTCATATGTCAGAATAATTTATCATACAGTTGGTTTAATGTTTCTCATGACATGTTTGTACTTAAGAATAAGTACGAAACATATGGAGATAACGAACAATATTAAAAGATCAAAAGTCCATAAAACAATACAAAATAGGAGCAGAGCAAACAAAAGAATATTGCTTTTTCGAATTTTAACCCTATTCATACTCTGAAATATTTTAAAAGACACATGTTGGCTGATATATCTTTTATCTATACTGAAAAAAGCCATTATGGACCGATTAATGGGCCCAGAAACATTGAGAATTAAACTCCACTCAGACACTGTGGGGTATAGTATTTGTCACTCAATATCTCAAAAATAAGTCTAGAAACCTATTGATATATATGCTTTAAGGTATGTAGGACATACTATATTAGAGATCTACAAAATATGAAAAAAATTAAACGACAGGTATTTTTTCAGCTAAAGGTCCTTCTTCCCCTTAAAGAAATCTCTTACATTAACTAATAATCGCTTACATTTAATACTCTACAGGAATAGCTTCTACTAATTAATCGTTATTTCCATTTATATGTACGGTATTGAATTACTAGAATAAATTTATCTATCAATTTCTTATTGCGTGACAAAAATATGTCTGATTCAAAATTTTTTCCGTATTAAAGCTGAACACGATTCGTAAAAGAAATGTATCCGCCATTTTAGTTCCCGAGACTCGCTACCCTGCAGACCCATATAAATAGGGCAAGACTTAGAGACTGTTCAGTTTAATCAGTCGACACCGGTGTAGACGGACGTATGCTATACAGGACTTGGTAGCGAGAATAATAACGTAATACTTTGTCTAATGCAGGAAAGTAAGATACCAAATAAATTTACAATTATAGATGTATAAGTCAGAGCAGTATACAAACAACATAGATAAACGTAACTGCAATAAAATATAAACAAATGTAATGCAAGATAACCAGCACGAACACGGGCCGCCATTCCACGCCGATACCTGTGACAATAAAGCAGTCAGGTGTAACGAAAGCGACGAGTATACCCTAGTATTGATGTATTGTAGATAATGCTATCAGAAATGGCGTATGCCTATTTACGAGTCGTGTTCAGCTTTAAGATATTCTATAGATTAAATACATTAAATCTGATGGCTTGCAGATTATTTTTATCTTTTTCATAAAATTTGAAATATACACGTACATTTTTAGATTCCAAGTACAGAGGATTTTTGGAACGGCTATCAAAAGCATTAGAAGAACATTTGGCTGTCATTAATTACATTCCTGGATCGTTTAATGAAGAAGAAGCCAGGAGGATTTTAGGTATTTTTATAAAATGTCTTTTATTGTGGTCAATAAATGAGTAAATAAAGTGATAAAGTATTGAAATAGATTTCATTCTTTTGTTCATTGCCAGGACTTTCCGATAAAGAAAGTCAAGATTCATTGCAAGGGTTGCTTCAACGCCATTTTGTGTCGATTGAACGTGGAGAGAGATTCAACATTCATGGAATTTTGCGAGATTGCATTAGAGAATATTTGAAAATTAAAGATTTAAAAGGTAAATAGCGCCTGATAAATATTTACACAGGTACATGCGACTCCTCGTCTGCTATTCAACCCGGGATCTTGACTGACATTTTTTTCTTCACAGATTTCATTTCACATACCTATCTATCAAGATTATCACAAGAAAAATTGTGAACCCCCTAATTATAAAATAACCATTCCAACCAAAAATTCCCTACTACACATTTTCTCTTTTATGATTTACAATAGAGAAGCTTTTGTATGGAGCAATTATTTTGACTCTTTCCTGATTTTTCCTACATTATATAATACATATATATGATAATAACATACATACTTTGCCATGAAATATAATGTCTAACGAGCTCTTGGTTGATTTTTTTTTAGATTGGGCGTCCTGTCCACGAGTGCTTGTGAGATTAAGTAGAAATAAATATAACTTAGAAATGTTTCATTCTCGCTACTCCATTTTCTCCATTTTATAGGTGTTAGAACCAGGTTTTGCCATACTTTTGCAAATATATTAAAAGAAATAGAACACAAATCACAGACAGAAGATTACGCAGGCGCTATGTGCATGCTGAATGTGGAACACCAGAATTTTCAACAACTTTTCACTGACGTCATTCACTGTACAGAGGATACGTACCCCGTGTTTGTAGATTTAGCCGCCACCACCATCTCAGATGGAGCCGTTCTCTTTACTGCCATGGCAACTTACGGTACAACTACATGTATATTGAAAAAGAAATAATTTCAGAGAATTCCCGCTGAAACTGTAATCTTTGATAATTATGAAAAAAATAGATTAAGATATATATAAAATGATTGATTTTTTCTTTTATCACAGAGTTTGGTATAGAATATTTCGAGAAATGCTTGCAAAAAACCAGAGAGTTTAAAGCAGAAATAGATGAATCAAAAGTTTTGACGGGATATGATTGAAATATAAAGGTAAAACAGAAAAAAAATTATCACTAGAAATATTACACAGACATATTTTTACTTATTCGTTTTTATTTAACTTAAAAAATGAAATCAATTTTAGGGAAATTACGATGAGGGAGAGAAAAAGTTTCGCGTTGCTTTTGAATTAAGAAATCAGCATCCAGAAAACAGAGATTTTTATCTCGCCTTGTTATGTCAGAGTTTTGGTTGGAACCTTGGGTGTCAAGGAAAATTTTCCGAATTTTTAAGGTAAAATAATATCGGGTTGTTATTTTCTTGGTTATAGATTAAATACTTATACAGTGTTGCTAAAGATTGCACGTATGGGGTCACTGAGACAATACTTCGACCAGCTGGATATAAATAGGGCTGTTCTTATTTATAAGACATAGTTGGATAATTTATCATAAAACATGTTTCCTTAGAATTGCAAATATACATTCATTGACTTTCTCATACTAGTATTTTAGAAATGGCATTCGAAATAGAGAAGGAACTGAAAATGTATTACGAACATCTTATCCTCCAAACAATGCAATCACTCGCAATATTCCACAATATCTCAGGTAAGATAAAACGTCAACAAAGCATATTGAGTTTATTACAGGTATAACAATACAAAGAATATAAGAATACCTTTCCATCTGTTATTATTACAGGCGGTATAGGGAAAGGTGAACCTTTGCAACTGGAAGTGTTAAGACGAAGACTTCATGTGATTGGAACCGAGAAACATCCGATTATAGGTTCTGTGATGAACAACATGGGAATCATGTATAAAAACAAAGGAGACCACGAAAAAGCCGCCCATTTCTTTCAAAAGAGTCTAGACATAAAATTGGAGACAAATGCGCCTTTAAAGGCTATAATATTCTCTGAAAGAAATGTTGCAGAGAATTTAATAGAAATAGGAGAATATGAAAAGGTCATAGCATTGCTAACCAATAGTCTTGAGCGGTTTGAAAATATTCCAGATCTCTACTATGATGTCAGGTCTATGCTTTATGAGACACTTGGAAAGGCTTACTCAAGATCAGGAAATTTTGAAAATGCAGCATCATCTTATAAAAAAGCGCTCGAATTGCGATATAAAATATCCCTGTGTGATCTCACTTTACTTGCTTTAGCCTACGATTATTCAAAGTGTCTGATATCGCTCGGAAAAAATGAGAAAGCTAAAAGGGTTTTACAGCGTGAATTACGGTTATGTGACCTCATCATTGAACAAGACCAAACCAATCTTATCATTATTGATTGCCTAATATTGTTGATGGATGTTAACTTCACCCTTGGATTGAGAGAGGAACTGGTACTCACCTTCAGTCGAGTGAAGGATGAGTTACATCGACTGATCCTAGTATTTGAAAATTTAAGGAATTTCAATAAACGCGAAGAGATGTCTGAACGTCTAAGAACACTGAAACTTAAATATGATGATATGATGAAAGTGTTTGAGAATTGTGGCGAAGCGCGATCAGCACGCTCATTTGAGCCAAATGTAGTGTTCTATTCTTTATGTTTAATCAAAGTATGCCTCTTTATTATCACTGCCTATATGAAAACAAAAAATAAGTAAAGATTTAAATATTAAGGTAGGATAAGCGTTGTATATATTTAATCTTTTTCGCTATGCAATCCATTTAAACTTCCTTAATCAAAGATAACATATCGATTCTGTTCGCTTGAGATTCGACACAATGGCCACGTTTATTGGTCGGAGATCAGAACTGCAAAAATTAGCAGAGAAACTTACACGATATGATATAATTGTCATACATGGATTAAAAGGCATTGGAAAGACATCCTTAGCGAGGGAATATTGTAAAGGCGCTAACAGACCATATCTATGGATAGACCTCCGGAATATAACCAACTCTGAGGAAGTTCTTTATTCGTTAGCGAGACACTGCTTACAGGAGGAAGTTATAGCGGATGACACAAGGGCTTTGCTTTCTGCCTTATGCGAAAATATTGTTAGAAGGAAACATTGCATAATTGTTTTTGACAATGCTGAGGACGTTTTCAAAGACGAGGATAATCTCAGTGTGGAAATTCTACTTTCGCTTTCACAACTGAAAAACACAAAAATAATAGTGACATCAACCATCAGAGTTTCATCTGAAAAGGTTCAGTTGGATGAATTGCTACTGAAAGAACTTTCTTATGAGGATTCGTTTGACCTTCTGAAAACCATATGCCCCTCTCTGAAAGACACAGATAAAATATCAAAGATCGTAGAGTTGTGTGAGGGGCTTCCTCTTGCACTGCTCCTGGCTGGCGGAGAAGTAGAAGATGACAGCAATTTACTTGACGCGGAAGATGTTATTTATTTTCTTAGTCACCAAAGGATAAGAATATTGAGTTCAGAATTCTATACACAAGATGAACAAATTGGTATCTATATTATTGTTCTTTTTATTACAGTATTTATAATCAAAAATAAGAATAAAATTTTACATACTAGGACCTGTATGATAAGCAATTTTTCAGAACTTGATTCGATTACAACTAGAAAAATCTTTTTGTGCATTTTTCAGACACTTAATGAAATCAAATTCCTTTTTTCGTTTTTCATTAAAGAGGCAACAATATTTACAATCTTAACCTGAAAATTTTCTTGTAGACTCGATTTATAAAGGCTTCCTGGACAGACTTCCCAAACTCCTAGGAGAAAATTTAGCAAATGTGAATTACATTCCAGGCACATTTGATTTAAAGGAAGCGTTAGATATTTTAGGTAATACTTGTGTTATGTTTCACTTTTAGATCATGTTGTGGTAATAGCTTAAAACAAATTATTTTTCTCTTTGAAAAAGGTCCTGGTGAAGAAGATTCACAAGAAACAATACAGATATTTTTGCATCGACATTTGATTTCAAAACAAACGGAAGAGAGATTTGATATTCATGGAATACTGAGGCAGTGCATTACTGAATATTTAAAGATCAAAGATATAAAAGGTTCATATTGAGAAAATAATAAATGATAATATATATTTTAAAATTTGTTTAAGTAATTTAGCCTCCTCTGAAAGTTCACGATGACCTAGAAGAAAATCACCAAAATGGCTAAGTAATCGTCAATATACTAGAAATGTTCAGCATGATTTGATGTATAGTGTAAAAGGGAGGCTGTGCTTCTTTTTTCAGGTGTTCGGTCGAGATTCTGCAAGACATTTTCCGATATTCTGAAGGAAATAGAACAGAAGACTTACACTAAAGACTACGCTGACGCTCTGTGCAGGTTGAATGTAGAGCATCGGAACTTCGGGAAACTGTTTTCTGACGTCATTTACTGCACTGAGGATACGTATCACGTGTTTATAGACTTAGCAGCAACGACAATAGGTGGCGGATCGATTATGTTCAGATCCATGGCAACATACAGTAAGTGATGTCATTTCCACTGTCCTCTGAAGATTCAATTAATATGATGCTAATTAAAGAATGGAAAAGTAAGCTCAAGTAACTATATTTCTTTTTATTATACAAAAGACATTGTTTTCAGATGTTGGTGTAGAGTTTTATGAGAAATGCTTGCAGAAAGCACAGGAATTCAGACAGGAATTGGATGAGGCAAAAGTACTCACTGGATATGGACGAGTATTAACAAACATCAAGGTTTATAAATTTTTTTATGATTTTCAGTAAGACAGTTAGTAGTAGCACTTCTGCATTGACGATCTTATCTTGAACAGTTATCCGTGTTTATTCTACTGTGGACAGAATCAAGCATACATAATTAAATAAGAATAATATACATAAAAAACATTAAAAAAACTATATTTATTTCAAAGACGTCAGTTAGCATTAGCGTTATGACTTATTCTTTTTCAAAACAAAGTCTCAGAATTGAACATAAAAATTGTGAAATATTGCCTTTAAACGAGATTTTAAACTCTTATAGGGAGATTGTGTGAAAGCTGAAGAGAAATTTCAAAAAGCAATGGCAATTCGTAGACAACATCCAGACAAAAGAGATTATTTCTTGGCCCTTCTTTGTCAAAGCTATGGCTGGAATCTAGGTTCACAGGGAAAGTTTGTTGATGCCATAAGGTACTAACCGTTTCATGCTCATTAAAACATATTATTAACCTCTATTTTTCCTCTTTAGTAATTTAGTTATCATTTTCTGTCTTTCCAAGATACATCTTTTGGTGTAGTTTTGTTCCTGGTGCCTCTTTGATGCAGTTTACTGTGTATAATGATGATAACCATGTTCCACTTAATAATGAATTCGAAAACATACATCGATTAAATTAGTATTCTATTGCAGGGTGGAAGTATTGAATACATTAAACTCATTGTTAAGCTTTCGGTATTATTGATCTTTTTTAAATCTAAAAAAATTATTTTTTAGAATTCTAGAAGAAGCTTTCCAAGTGGAACGGGAACTTAAGATGTATTACGAAAATCTCATTCTTCAAACTATGCAATCTCTTGCTATATTTCTAAATATGTCTGGTAAGTATTTAAGTGAAAACGTCAAATAATCATCATTATTACTACACATTTAAAAGCAACAATGAGGCTTCCGTAACGTCGATTGGCTGAGGGTTTGATTGTTTTTTTTTACTCCTTTACGTAAAATTTCGTAGAACATTGTTATTTACTTTCTATATTTTTTAAGGAAGACTTTTTAAAGGTTGCTAGGTTAAATATCTCTAAAATTCGCATAAACATTTTCGTATTTGTTAATTTTGAAATTATCCTATTTCTTTTACAAATACAGATAACATTGAAAAAGGCGAACCTTTTCAGCAAGAGGTGTTAAAACGAAGACGTCATGTTATTGGAACCGATAACCATCCCATCATTGGGTCAATCATGAACAATATGGGTGTAATGTATGAAAGAAAGAAAGATTTTCGTAAGGCTGCTGAATATTATCGAAACGGACTTAAGATCAAAGAAGAAACAAATGCGCCACTAAAGGCAATTATAATATCTGAAACAAATGTAGCCCGGAGTTTACTAGAAAGTGGACAGGCCGAGGAAGCAATTATTCTGCTGGAGAATAGTTTCAAGCGTCTCGATGATTTTCCATCTCTTTTTAGCGATGCAAAATCTTTGCTTTGGGAAGCAATGGGCAACGCATTTATTAAGTTGAACAATTTTGAGGAGGCAGCGGAGTCTTTCAAGAAAGCAATAGAATATCGATCTCACAGTTCTGCCATGGATCATTCTATTTTAGGTTTGGTATGTTTGTATGCCAAAAGTCTACTGGCGTTGGCTGAATATGAGAAAGCTATAAAGGAAATAAAGAAAGGTCTTTGTTTATGTGACTTAATCATTAAAAATAACCCAACGAATCCTACTATCATTCTAACATATGAGAAGTTAATGGAAGCGCAATTTGCTTTAAAGAGGAGAAAGGACTTGGAGAAAACCTATGAAGGTGGAATAGCCGAATTCTATCGGTTGATTAAAGTGTACGAGAATTTGAAGAACTTCAATAAAAGGCAGGATGTGTTGGACCATCTTCGGAAGTTCAAAGCAAGATATGCTGAAATGCTTGCACAGTTAAATGGTGAAATACCCGTTGAAGGCTGCACTAATAATATAGTAACTGTTGTATCATTTTGTACGCTGAGAGTTATTTGTGTGGTGTTTCTGTATGTGTGCATGAAAATTAAAGAACAATAACTCTAAATCTGTTTAAAGAGATATTTGATTACATTTACAAAAATGTCCAGCATTATTTTCAGATTTGTAATAATTATCTTTATGTGCTTTTGACTGAGGGTGTACAAATGATTCAATTAGAAGGACTTGTCAACATGTATCATGATAGTGGAATCGAAGGCTGCACTAAGGACCAACATTTTTACCCTTTTGGCTCTGAATAAGCGGACGTTCTTACATCTCTCCAAGGGGTAGACATATATGTTACGATATGAATTTGAATGCAGTGATATTGCAGAAACCATGATTATAATAATACTTACGCCATATTTAAATTGCCAATAAAGCTTGGAACTTTGACCAGTGCGTACAGTCCGAGTAATCTATTGAATTCTTTTCTCACTTTTGAATTATTGAACACAAAAGTATAAATAGTTTTCATATTCATAAGATGTTCCCGAAAACATCTTTAAGTGTTAAGCACTATGAAAAATACAAACCCATTCTACATGATTTTTTTTTAAATTTGCGTAATTTACTTTATTTATCATATTTTCTGACAAGAATGCATATCATGTATAATTTCTTAGCATCATTTACAGATATTTTATTTGGATACATGGCATGTCAAATCAACATCATTCTAATAACGAGTCTGTGTCTAAAATGATCCATAAATCACGTGTTCAATATTCACATCAATTCATTGAAAATACTATTTAAGATTAGCGAACATAGATCTTCTTCTAGAGCATGATATTTATATTCAGTAAGTGAGTACATTTTTCAAATATTCTAACAAATCATGTGATGGGGTCCATGCTTTCATCAATTCACTGAATGTGCGGTACTTTCTATTCAATTCTGCTTCTGCTTTTGCATTTCGATTTCTCCTACAAAACAAATATAGAAATATATATTGACACGACGTCTTATAAAAACACTTGACAAACATAAACAAATCAATAATTGTAACCTTACGTTGAATCCTCCTATGCCACCGGTACTGTTGAACATATCCGACAGCTTTTAAATCAACATGTTTTAAAACATCTATCAAAAATCCTGTATTTAATAATCTATGCCTCCGAAGATAGTCAAAATCCTCTTCAATAGAACTATTGTTGAGTACCCTTGATTGAAGGCATTTCATTAATTCTTGTTTCCACGCCTGGAAATTCTCTCCATTGTATTTGCTATCGTCCAAGTATCTTTTAGTTAAGGTATTTAATATCTCAGTTTCCTTAAAGAATCTGTAAAAGTCAGTAAGAATAGAGCAAATTCGAACATAAAGAGGTATGATGTGAATGCAATTATGCTGATCATTTTTAAATAAAGTTTTCTTATTATATGATAGTATTATTATAATTTGGAAGGTCGAGAGAGAGAGAGAGAGAGCAAATGCATAACTAGGGCTAATTGTAACGGGGACCGTTACAGATGTTCCCCAAACGCTCCCCATGTCCCTTTTCGTGCCATAGCTTTTCCTGTAAGACCTTTTATAAATATACTAAGCATTTAAGGATTTCATTGAAAGATATAAAAGTTACAATGATATCAACTATATATCGTTTAATGTTTTGCATGGGCGCACACGTACATGTACATGCATCAAACTCCATACAGTGTCGTTATACGAATAACGCCACTGCCACAGGCTTTCCAAACTTTTTCCAAAATCTGGAAAATTGGTTGAACTAGGTCATATCAAAAGGCCTGTGGCAGCGATGATATGGAGTTGTAGCGTAACGTAATAAGCTGTTTGGAGCTTGGTACATTGCATATGCAAGATGATCATGGCATGTTGGTTAAGCGATTAACACAGAGATACAGAAAGTTACCACATTTCAAGTATATATCATTTTTTGAGATTTTAAGAGAGAGAGAGAGAGAGAGCTAACCAATCAAAATGAAAGTCAATTTTAGTTCCATGCATAGAAAAGGGATTTTCCTTTAATCTGTTCAGATTTTTTTTATATATATCTCCTCTCTGGTCATTTTGACAACTCTGGTACCTGTGCCTAGTAAATTTTATATACTATGTAAATAAATATATACATGTACATGTAAAGGTTTTTGACCGGAACTATTTATTTTTTCCAATGCATTGGAGGCTACTTTCTGGGGTTTACAATAGATATTCATAAAGACATTCGTATCAGCTAATGTGACCAATATTCTTTAAGACCCTCTTATTAATATATTTTTTGATATTTTTTTTACGAAGGGGCGTACATGTATATTGATTTTGAATTTCTGGGGATTGCGTAATTCTAAAAGAAATCAATTAAATTTCAAAGGTTAAATAAACAAAGGATGCTTGGTATTAAAATATTGTTTCAAATCAGTAGAATTGAATGCTATTAACGACATCCGAATAAATACATGTAAACATAGAAGGCTTATATACCAACTTTGTTCATCTGTACTTTAATTTCAAACACGACAGGATTTGTAATTAATGAAATTAATAATTTCTATATACTTTGGAAACTCACATCAAATATTTTAATACTCTTTCTTCGAGCTCTTTTCTGCAGTTTCCTTAAGATGTTATGTGGATCCGAGGTGTAATTTGAGCTTTACAGCGATTCTCTACTTTGTGTGTGTGGGGGGGGGGGTCTTTCTACCCTTGGGTTAAGGTCAAAGGTTAAGGTCGATTTCAAGTTCATAGGTCAAGGTCATTTTGGTAAATAGCTAATATCAACATTTTATTCAGGTTACTAGTGACCTTGACCTAAGTATCAAGGTCAAGGGTAAAAAGATCTGCTTCAGTATGTTACATGTCTTTACATTTAGAAGTTCTTAATTCTGCATGAACATCAAAAGACTTAAGTATACTGTCGTTTAACGCATTGTGTGTGCGCGCATATGCATGACGTCCTTGAATTTACTTTTGATGGTAGAATAATGTAGGCATTCATTATATCTATTCATATTCGAAATTTCACCCTGTATTATTGAGAACTAAGAAAGTTTTAGGCATTTAAACTTTTAGCCAATCAGATTGCAGCACACGTGCATGTGCGTGCGTTCATGATTATTCTTATACATCATGCTGTAGATCTTCATAATGTATGACTATGTTCAAAATTTCAAAGGATTTTGTCAGAAAACAAAAAAGATATAAAGACTTTAGTTTCAGCCAATCGGAACGAAGCGCACGTGCATGCGTGTGAGATCTTGCTATTTTGACCATGTCATCATGTCTATACTACTATTATATCCTTATATTATGAGTTTCAAAGCATTTCATCAAAAATTTAAAAGGTTACGGCTATATCTATCATATTGGTCATTTCACGCGTTACACGTGTGCGCACATGCACGCACGTGCGCGCAAAATGACCTTCGTTCCGCACATCTACATAACATACCTAGTGACCCTAAAAGGTTTCACCTAGATCGGATGAGTAGTTTCTCGCGGACAAAAAAAGTACCGGAGAAGAAAATTCTCAATATGTTCCCAAACTTCGTTTCATAATTAAAACTGGGTGAGATCGAACAAAAATTGCTTCCAAATATTCTTCTTAGTTATATTCCGTTTACATAAAATGCGTAATAGGGAAAGTAACTAAAATGATGCCAATTATTAAATAGAGAAAGAAAACAAAATAATACTGTGATTTGATAGAGAAAAAAATATCTACTCACAAATATACGTATGCCATAATTTCCATACACGAATCATTTAAACCCGTTTATCTTTTTTCGTCTTTGAATCTTTTCTCTCTCGAGTTGATCTCTCTTCTTATCTTAAAAATCAATATGCATACAAAAGATTAAAAAATTTTCAACAGATTCAAACCATGCAATTGCACTGATAAATTCCTTAATAGTTAAGTATACAAACTGAACATGTATTTCATGCGTATTTAGAAATTACATGCATAAAATTTGTTCACATTCAATTTTGAAAAATTAAGAAATTCATAAATAATTATATATATATATTTTAAAAAGGATATGTCTTAATTTCCTAAATAGATCGTGTGGAAGAAAAAAAAAACTATGGAAGTTTTTTTTTCCAATAAACGTATTGGTACAAATGAAATAGTTTTATTTTACATTTAACTAAAAAGTGTAAGCTTATTTTTTTAAATTAATTGTTGTAAGGATAAAATGAATATTAATGTTAAAAATATACATAAACGAAGTATTTGTTATTTAAAAATAATACATATATTAGTAAGAGTATTCGTCAGAAAAACAGGCGAATATTTTTTCGTAAATAAAAAAGTATACAAGAGTAAAATTTATTAAAAAAATTAATTTGAAGATAAATTGTTTTTAGTTAATCTAAGTCGAAAGCTTAACTGAACCTTTTCTGATCAAAACGTTGTTGTTGTTGTTTTCATGACCTTGTCACATTTTCATCTTCCAGACCCAACAGCATAATTCCAAACAAACGTAGCATACTTTATCCTTGGGTAATGTTTAAACTAAGGGCCACACCATCCTTCATTGGGGGATAATTACAAAAAGGAAACAATAGGTGGGATCAATTGAAAATCTGCTCAAGAACCACTGGACCACATGTGAGTTTGTTTAACTCATGATCTCCCAAAATAGTTACGTCTTTAGGAACGATTATAGGGAGTACATTTGATAACTATTGACTCAAAACTTTTTTACTTAGGAAATACCAAACTTAAAAATTGTCTTCATTACGAAAATAATGAAGGAAAGTCTTTCCACCCCCCCTTTTTTTTTTTACAGATATTGACAGTGTGTCTTTTCTAATGAGCAACCATTAGCATGTAATATGATGTTGTTTTAGTACTCATTTGATTACAGTGGTGCTCTTTCATTTCTATGATAAACACACAGGTTATTATTAACATTCTTTATAATTTATGAAAACATAATTAAAACGTACGATTTTTTTAGCAATGTGAATTCTTTGCAGAAATGAACATTTTTTCTCGATTGTTAAGAATGATTAATAACGTCCGTTATAAGGCTGATAAATTCTCAATTATTGAAGCAGGATTGCTTTCACAGGAAAACGCAGATTCATACAAAGAGTTGTTATAGGATATCCTTCAACAAGGAAATCCTTTTTTTTTAATTCTCAACCCACAAAACCTATGTTCAGGGTCAAGTATTTTCTAAGTCATAAAATATGTATTATTTGCAGAAATGAGAGGACCTTACTAGGAAGTATATTGTATTTTTAACGCTAAATCTAAATCTTTTTACTAAATATTGCGTTAGTGCTGCTTGAGTTGTTGCACTCGATTACATAACGACAGCGTATGACCTTGATTTCAAGGTGATGAAGAAAAATGGCGATCTTTGTGGGTAGACGGAGGGAGTTGGAAGAATTACGAGAAATGTGTCGTTTTTCTGATTTGATTTTGATCCATGGATTGAAGGGGATAGGAAAATCATCTTTTGTAAAACAATTTTGTGAAAATATAAACCACATTTTTATCGACGTTCGGCGGAGAGAGGAAGATCCTTTACAACTAATTGAAATGTTAGAATCAGAAGTAGGAGGGATCCGAAGAATAAAGAACTGTGAGACAAATAAACCATCCGTTGAAAATAGCGATTTATTAAAAACTGATAATGCTTATTCAGCAAGTAACCGGAGACAGGAAATCGAAATGCTTTTAGTTTTGGACAATGCAGAAGAAATATGCATCGATTCAGGATCAATTTCCACATTGACTTCCATTTCCACATTATCTGGTGTGACAATTTTGATTACATCAACCTTCTGTCCTGTCGAGATGAATGAACAGATAATAGAGCTACCTTTAAAACCCCTTTCACACACTGATGCTCATGAACTTCTCAAAACTATTTGTCCCTCAATGGAAGAAGATAATTATTTTGTGTGCAAAATTATTGAATTGTGTGAAGGGATTCCACTTGCTCTCCAGATAGTAGGGTTAGAATTAGAAAGTAGATTACTTACACCAGAAGATCTGGTGATTCTTCTCACTAAGTCCAGACTGAAGGTATTAAGTCAAGAGTATTTTCCAAAAAATGATCAGATAGGTAATATTTTTTTCAATCTTTGTTAAATGACTAAGAATGTGTTTATTTTGTCTATCGCACAATACCTAGTTGCGTTTAATTTAAAATGTAAAAAGTACCGCCGTCTAAACAATTGACAAATACTAAAGTTTATAAAATACATGAGATATTGGCAACATTTGATAATTTGATTTAAGATTTTTTTTTACTAATGGGATAGATATTGTTGAAATCTTATTGAATGAATGAGTGGTTGTTTGCTTGTTTTAATTTTTACGTCCCATTTGATAATTTTTCACTCATGAAGATATATTTCTATATCCGGTGAAATGCCAACTCATTCATGGGGGAAATCTGTTTGAAACTAAATAGTTAAAATGCTTTACTTGTTCTCCTATTGCAGACTCAACTTACAGAGAATTTCTAAATAGGATATCTGAACCATTACAAGACGCGCTATCGACATTAAATTATATTCCAGGGACTTTTAACGCGCATGAGGCTTCCAGCATTTTGGGTACGTACAAAATCTATTACCTGAAGTGATTCACCTCTTTTCTGAAATCATTTTCCAGGTAGAAATATTAGGCAAATATATATCCATTCTTTAAAATCTTCTATAACTTGGTAAACCATATATTCGCTTTTTGATATCACTTAGTGTCAATCAGCATCCGAGACTTATCTTTTGGTTATTTCACTTCAAATCTCTAAACATTTTTTTTTTTAAAATAAACAATCGATGTTGTTTTACAAGTTCATCTTTGCATTTCATTTAGGTGTTGACAATGTCAACATTAATAATACTCTACGTAGCTGTAACCAATATCATCTGATCTTTAAGAGTGAATCTGCCAATAGATACGACATCCATGGGATATTGAGAGATTGTGTGAAGGAATTCATTAAAATAAAGCATTTACCAAGTAATTATACGAATAGAAGTGATTGCATGAGTCTTAAACATGTATCGTTGCTTAAGGTTTCAAACTGAAATATTCAGTATTGTATTATAAAAATTATAAAATTCAGTCAGTTTCAATCGCCTCAATTTTAGGTGTTCGAAAGAGATTTTGTGAAACTTTTTCAAGGATTTTACAAGAGATTGAATCACGATCCAGCACTGAGGATTACTGTTGGGCCATGAGTCAGTTTAGTTTAGAATATGGTAATATCTGGAAACTGTTTAAAGAAGTGATTAATTGCCCCTCGGACTGTTATCACGTGTTTGTAGAATTAGCCACCACGCTTACCATAGGGAGGGTCCTGCTGAAAACAATGACACTATATCGTAAGTCTGTAACTTCATAAATCGGTGTCTGTTTTGAATTTATCGTATAAACTTTAATATGTATATTGTTTTAACTAACCAACAGAAGCAATGATTGAATTTTTCGGCCATTGTCTAGAAAGAACTAGGTTGTTTGGGCAAGAACTAGACGAAGCTAGAGTACTATCAGGATATGGACGAGTTCTTACAAATATTACGGTAAAATATTACAAGAATCATGTGAAAGACGAAGGAATACGAAATTTATTCCTATAATAAATCAAATCAATTTTAAACGCTTCTAAAATACAATACTAGTATATATATTTTTTTCCAAAACCTTCATATAAAATCATTTTCTGCAACCATAAAAAAAAAATTAATTGGGAAAAGTTGTCAAATGTTTCTTTTACATCCATCATTATAATATAATTGGTTTAAAGGTCAGTTTCTGTTTGCAAAAATTTCCTTTACTTATTAAAACAAAAATGTTCAAAGGCAAAGTATGAATTTTTATCCCAATATGTTCTACAGGGAAACTTAGTTGAAGGTGCTGAGATGTATCAACGAGCGTTAGATATAAGGAGACGTCATCCCAAGACTCGTGATTATCATCTGGCCTTTCTTCTTCAGAGCTATGGATGGAACCTTGGAATGCAAGGAAAATACAAGGCTTCTTTAAAGTATCTTTCATAAAAGATTTCAAACAATTATTTTTATGAATTTTTTATGTATGAATTTATTATGTAGGAATTTTGACTTTTGTTTAGGTACCTGAGAGAGGCTTATTGTGTTGAACAAGGTTTAGGAATGTACTCCGAAAGACTCATTTTACAGACATTGCAATCTTTGGCCTTATTCTACATATTTTCGGGTAAGAATTTTAAAAAGAAATATAAGCATGATGGTGGGATCTTTTTGATCTTTAAGCTAAGCATATATTTCTTTCATGATTATTTTTTAATTGCAGACGATATTGAAAATGGCGAACAGTTTCAGGTTGAATGTTACAAAAGAAGATTAAAAGCAATAGGGACGAAAAATCACCCAATAATGGGGTCTACGCTAAACAACATGGGTTGCATGTTTTTAAGAAAAGGTGACATAAATACAGCACTCGACTATCAAAGACAAGGTTTAGAAATAAAGATTTCAACAGGAGCCCCAGTGAAAGACATAGCTCTCTCTGAAAGGGATCTTGCAGAAACCATTTTAGCTAAAGGAGACTATAGTGAAGCCATTACACTGTTGGATCAAGCGCTCACTCGTCTACAAGGATTTCCCGGACTTTTTGATGACGCCAAGGTCTTGTTATTAAAAACAAAAGGGAAATGTTATTTCAAAGCACGTGCATATTCTGAAGCAGGTAGACATTTCCAAAAGGCCATTGATCTGAAATTGAAAACATGCGAAGAAGATAGCTTTATGGTAAAATTATATTGCTTATATGCAGATGTTCTCCTTGCTCTTGGAGAAAATGCAAAGGTGGTCAGAATATTGGAAAAGGCCCTTTTTAGAAAAGACAGTTTCATTCAACAGACACCTACAAATAAAAGTTTATTTCATTCATACAGAATTTTACTCGAGGCACATTTTTCTTTAGGGAACAGGGAGGAATTGTTTAGAACATATTATGATGGATGTTTTGAATTGCAAAGACTGATTAAGGTTTTTGAAGAAGTTCCGAATTTTTATAGAAGAGCGGAGATGTCAGAAAATCTTCAAAAATTCACAGAAAGATTTAAAGAAATGAAAAGATTTTTAGATTAAATTAATATAATCTTAGCGTACACTGTATCTATTCAAAATGAAATTCAATATCGTTTGTTTTAAGAGTTGTAAGGAAAAAAATTAATAAATTAATTGCTCATTTCTACACTTAAATTTTGTATAAATAAAATGAATTTTATAACAGATAGAACATAACTTGTGTTTGGCTTTTTGTTTGTTAAATAAGACACACTTTAACTACAAAGCTGATGGAAAATAAAGGCAAAAAAATTGCAGTCAGTGATAAAAGTTAATCTCAGTAGTTTGTCATAGCAGACTAACATAAAAACCGCATTGTAAAACCTTTGAGTAAATTTGGGACATTTTTATTCCATAATCTTAATTGGTTCAAAAATATCTTTTTAGTTACTCATTTTATTCACAGTTACTCACATTAATGAAATATATATGAAACAAAAAACTAATTCTTAACATTTTATGCACAAATTGTAACGGCTAAGAAAAACAGATACATAACAAAAGTTGACAGAATAGGTTTAACAGCAGCTGTAAAAAATAAATTGTAATAACAATTAAAATAATCAGAATAGACACGTATCGAAGTTTGCAAATTAATAAACTATTTTTGTCATATGCAAAGTTCTGATTTGATTTTACATTTAGATGTTAAAAAAAAATGTAAAATACAAGAGTAAAAGTTAAAAACCACGATTACCCGCAGAGATGCATCGGAATCCATCTTCAAATTTCGTACATTTACATGTTTTATTGGGTAAACATTTCCCAGCGTTCATACAGTCAGAATCTTTTACACACACCTCTGTGTTTATAATAGTAAAACAAGGACATCAAGCTATTTATACAATAAATTCAATCATAATCTAAATAAGCTCTTAGTTTCTGTAATCATTAGGCTAAAAGAAACATATATTTACTACCTTCGCAGTGCAGTCCTCTGATTTCTGGAATTACTTTCTTACACGTACATGTTCCATCACTATTACAGGTTCCACCATGTTTACAGTGAATGTCTAGTGTGCATGCTATCAACAATAAACTTAAATGTATTAATACAGATCTGTACATATAAATGAAAATCAGGGATAGGACTTGGGAGTTGGGAATTAAAAAACATATTCAAGCACCAATACTCTAGCAGTAAAAACAACTTTAAAAGCTCAAAATGTAGAAAAAAAGTCGCTTATAGATAAGATACGTTGCTATATCAAAGAATTAAAATAAAATATTGGTGTTATCTATTCTCACCTACACACCAGGGGCCATGGAACCCTTGTTTACAGACGCACCTATGCGGCGCCCCAGAGCAGGTGCCTGCAAATCCACAGGAACCATTCACTGACGGATGGCATGAGTCTAAATAATTAGAAATACATACATAGTTGTTTATATTTTTGTAAGATTACGATAGCTGATGTTCAGCATTTGGAAGAATTGATCAATTATCTTTTCAAAAATAGCAAAAAAAAAAAAAAATAATAAGAAGAAAAGACACAACACCTTCACAATGCTTTCCGTAGTATCCAGTAGGTTGATACCCTATATCACACTCACATTTCCTAGGAATCCCTACGCATGCGCCGTGATTGTTGCAAGAATCTGGACCATCACACTCATCTACGTTTTACAAAATAAAATTATATGTAATGTTTTATTGATTAATTACTCAAATAATTAAATTTTTTCTACCAAGATCTCTCAGTATAAATTGAATAGACGGATCTTTGAAAAGGTAATTTGATATTAATAATCTCAGAAAGTATTGAACATTTTTACGAATTTTTGAACTTCCTGGGAATAACAATCGAAAGATAACTTCATGAGAGAAAGAAATCCGTGAAAGAAAATTGAGTTGGATCTTTTGATAGCATGATAAGAAATAGTAATATAATGTACGTTCATTGACAGTATAATATTTAAAAAAAAAATACATTACTAAATTTTTATAAGTGCTTAAAATGAATCATTTTCAAAGGCAATGGAAGTTAGAGGTACTTTACCTTCACATCTAATTCCGTAGAAGCCCTCTTGACATACACATCTCCCCTCCTCACAATAGCCGCCATTACGACAAAAAATGGTCGTACAGGTATCTGATGATGAAGACACTAACACTAAAGGTAGAAATAAATGCACATCTTAAAGGTAACGAATCATTCATACTTTAATTTCTCTCATTTAAGTTTATTGTACACTGTTGTTTTATATGATATTTGCATGTAAGAAAACAGAAAATTTTACATTTTACATTGATTTGTTTGAATTGGCAACATGCTTTGGGCGGAGTTAGTTCAGAAAAAACTTACACCTCTATTGCAACAGATTTTATATTACATCTCTTGAATGAAACAAGTAAATACGACATTTCAATAATCTTTTTAAAAAGAAAAAAATCAACCATGTATACCATAAATACTTTGGTAAATCATGATTTCTGTCAATATCTTCATTGATATCTAGACCAAAAAAAAAAACCACATTATTTTAATCTTGACATTCTTATTGATATAATATTTTTGGGAACAGAAACAAATAATAAATAAAGGCAATTACTTTTGTAGAATTTATAATATGATATAATTGTTTAAAATGTATATAAAATCAAATTTAAATTTCATTTGAAATAAGATTTCAATTGCACACTTATATTAATTTACACAGTGTGATAATAATAACACGTAAAATCTACAAATAAATAGAAAACAAAGGGTGTGAAATGCATCTAAAAGCGTAATCATGACCTCTACAAGAGTGAGTTGCTGAATAAGAACTAAAAGCAACGACAAAGAGACTACAATTGTAAGTCTTAAATATATAGGAAAAACACAATACCTTCCCCATTTTCTTGGTCCAACCTTAAATCTCCGTCGAACACCATATGTTGTTACCTTCCATTTCTAGGTTATAACACCAATAAGGATTTTCTATAGTAAATAACAGTTACATGTACTGTAGTTTTCTCTCTAGATCAAACCTTAATTCTGTAATGCAAATGAATTTTTATTGGAACTTATTTGATGAGATGTAGAACATCGATTTCTCTTAAAATCCACGTCTATGATACATGTTGTGAAGTTAAACTTGAGTATATAAGTAATCGTTTCTTTTGATACAAATAAAAAATCAAAAAAAAATGAATGTAATATAATAATACGAATTGTAATATATGTGATGACTTCAGCATTGCTTTTTAATAATGGCAAAATTATTATAGGGTATGAAAGTAGGAATAAAATATGTTTTCAATTTTAAGAACTTTGTATTCTTAATGGAATTTTGAGCTCAAAGTTTGTTATCTCCATATATTTCATGAAAAGAAAAAAATGCAGACAAGTGGCATAATACTATGAAGTTTAACCGTAAAACATTTTTCTCCTTCCCTTAGTTTCTCATATGATTTATAGTAAAAGAAATAAATTACTGCCTAGTTTGTTGGGTATGTGAATTCAGGGCAAATTTACATTTACAAGGATCAAAACACAATGCTTAAACATTTTTGTTATGAACTTTCATTACAAAAATGTTTACTCATTGTGTTGTAGTCCTTCGTTATATTTTTAATTTGTCCAGAATTATCATACTTCTTATTAAATTCTTATAATTGAAAAAAAAAAAGATTATTTCTGCGTTCGTGCCCTAGAATAATTTGGCATTATATACTGTTAAATAGGTACTTATTTACGGCTGCCATTTAAAGTTGACATCTTCAAAAAAATTTTATTAGGTTTTACCCTCACCTCAAACTGAAATTTCTTACTAAGGAATGAATTGTAACGGTTATTCCGCTTTGCCAGTCTAGGGCTGTAAATAACAATATCAATTTGAAATTTTATAACCGAGATATTTTCTTCTCTCTCTCTTGTACAGTGATAAATTAAAATTTAAATTCGACATTTTTGAATACAATTATAATTAATCTACAATACATATCTAAGCAATAAATCATTATGTTTTGAAAGATATAGTACCATAACTGGCTAAATCATTGTATTGACCGAAAAACAGCAATAATTTATAATATCTTAAAAAAATAAGGATTCATTGCTTATATTTACATTTTTTAAACGCTCTGCCTTTATTGCGAAAGCGATTTATATTTCAAATTCCATGTATTATCCTTTGTGTAAGGCACTGTTTAAGGAAGGGCAAATGCAATAGCTTCTAGCAAATATTAGCGTGATTTTTGATTTTCGCTGATGACGTTGCACTTCATCGGTGTTCAACGTTTGTGACGTAAAATTAAAAGGCATGCTTTAACTGTCATAGATTTTAACACACTATATATTTACATTACACGTGTTTTCTGCATATAAAGTGGATGGAAATCTATTGAATCTATCTATTTAAAACATCATAACACGGACAGGATGCCGAAAGGATAAAGCATGCGTTTTAGTTTAACGTCATAAGCGGAATTAAAAAAAAAACACGCTTACATTGACCAGAAGCTGTTACGTTGGCTCTTCCATCAATTGTAGCTTACACAAAGAATAATACATATGTTTTTGAATATAAATCACATTTTCAGTCAAGGTTGAGAGTTGAAAAATGTAAATATAAGCAATGAATCATTTTTTTTTAAAGATATAGTCTCATAACTGCAACGGTGGGTGCAAACAAATTTTCATAACGCGCTAGTTAACGCGCGTTACTCATTTGTTTGCACACACCGTTGCAGTTATGAGACTATATCTTTAAAAAAAAATGATTCATTGCTTAATTATATGCCAAAAATGTAGTGAAAATATTCTCTGATATATGTTCACTTGAAGACAGTATATCACAAATTACCCATGTACATGTATGCAAATGTCATACAACGAAAAAAATTTCTCCCTTCCTTGTTTTTAATTTCTTTTTGCACAGCTTTTAATGGGGACTCCACAAAATTATTTGAAATAGAAATGGTGTGAATTATCAACTGTCATTCTAGCTGCAGAACTGTAGCTCGCCGAAAAATATATTGATAGACCGGAGAGCTACAGTGCCACCAATTGAAAAAACTGTATATTTATTGCGCACAAAAAGTTGCACTTGTGTATGGATTAATTCTTCCAAATTCTTACCATAATAAACTCTTTAAAAAAAAATCAGATTTCAAAAAATTCCGCAGTCTTCTATCAAGTACTTTCGTAGTTGACATCTACACGAAGCGCATTAGGCAGAATTTTCTTACAAACCAAAATGGCAGTATAAACTAACAAAATTTTCTATGATCTCGATTTCAGGGCCAGGAGGGCTATAAACAACAACTATAAGGTATGTTTTGTTGTGGATACAGTGAAAGATTATGTTAGGAATACATGATTAGTAATATTTTGATATTATAGTTTTAAAAACACGGAGAAAGAAATCGAGAAACAGCCCACGTTCTTGTGCTCAATAAATATATACCGGTAGGTTTTTTTTTCAATGGGTGGCACTGTAGCTCTCCGGTCTGTCAAATTATTTTTTGGAGAGCTACAGATCTGCACCTACTGTCATTACAACTTCTTGAGCTTTGCAACATTAGCAAAATTAAGCAGATTCCCTTTTTAAAACTATTATTATTAATTCTTTAAGTTACACTTATTAATTACATTATATAATTATAAAATATAATTATAATCAATAATAATATTATTTAATTACAAATAAATTGTAATATAACATGGCAAATAGAAGACCATTCATAAATTTATTTCAGCACAATTCATTACTTTTATATGAATGTGTTACACAATCTATACAATATAGTTCTGAGATGACAGAGTTCAGCAATCTTTTGAACAGATAAATATACACACAAGAGAATTGTCTCGTAGGATACAATGTCTAAATTCAGCACTCAATATAGAAGTTTCGCTTACATTTTACATAAAAAAAAACATTTTTCCATGGATTGTCAAATTTTAATTGATTTGCACTCTGTAGACAAATGTGAAAAATGAAATCTCTACAAGTGAGTATATATATAGAGTTGTATAGGATATATTTTTCGCAAATATTGAAAGTCATCTAAAATGGATAAACAAATCATACAATATATCTCTGAAGGTATATCCAAACTAAAAAATTGAGGACGGATTCTAGCAACTACCTGAAAACTACCACCTGAAAGTGTAGGATATTAGTTATGAATTTTACATTTCAATGTATCTACAAAATTACACGATATTTAAATACATATAACAAAATGAGAACGCTCAAGATATTGCTATATAAAAAGAAAAAAAAGTTTCATTATTGTATGTTCCGATAAAACATTGAATTTGTTGTTTTATAGTTTCTATCACAGATTATCATAGGAAGACAATGGGCGCACGTCTGAATTACTGCCTCCTTCGCCTTGCTTTATCTCTTTAGATTTTGGTCTAGATTTCCGATTTGATTGTGACCGTTTTGGGGTTGACTTTGGAGTTGTTTTTCCTACTTCATTTTTCGTGGGACGGTCCTTCTTTGGGAACGGGGACACGGGTCTAGGGTTTCCTCCTGAGGCTTCACTTCCGGGCTTTTCTTCCTCACTGTCATGTTCTATTGACATGTATTTCTGTCGAATGTACACGAAAGGTTTCGATTTCTGTGGCTTCATCGGTTCCGTGTCCGGAGGAGGATTTGCTTTCGGAAGCTGTTTTGGTTCTTTACCATGTGTTTTTGGTAGATTTTTGATTGGATCGGGATCTTTTTTCTTCTTCGAGAAAAGCTTTTGCATAAAGCTCACATTAGAAGAACTGGCCTTTTTCTGCGATTGAGGTTTCTTTGCTGAATCCTCCTCTGCCTTCCCTCTTTCCTTAGGAAGGGAAGAGGGAGTTTGATTAGGATTAATTTTCAAAGACGAAAAGTCCATTTTGGCGTCATTCGAAATAAATGAACTATCTGAGTTGCACGAAATAAATGACGCCGTTGATTCGGACTCTGTTGAGGATGGCCTTGAAGTACCCGTAGCCTTTGGAAATTTTGGTTTTACAACAGGCGTTATATCCAATGAAGTGTTACTACCTGTGTGAACAGGAATACGACTTGGGGATTTATTATGCTGTTTCTGATTAATCTTATATTTCTTGTTCGGTACCGTCGCAATTTTTCCTGGCGCTGAATTATATCGGGGCATTTGATTGCTGTTGTTTGTGTTCCCAGGTAACATTGTCTCATTTCCCCCAGTATCACGAGGAAGAATATCACTTTTATTGAGGGACTCTTCTGGAGGTAGCAGTGTCTTTCCTTTCAATGTTGTTATTGGTTGTGGTTTTCTGTCCCCCTTTTTAGCTTTTCCAACATCGTTGGATTGTGCTATTAACTGTTGGACATTTTTCTGTCGTTCTTGTTCCGTTGCGTCAATAACGTCATTTGAGTTCTCTTTAGAAGACAGCTGATCTTCCGATGAACTTTTCCAAGGTACATCCGGCATATTTTTTTGAGTAGGACTTTGTAACCGCTGTGACACCTTTTGTAATTTTGAAATGCAAGCCGCCATTTTTCCTTCCGCGACAGAGTTTGTTTCTGTGAGGGTGGATGCATCAGATACCTCTATCTTGGGAGTCATGGTGAGTTTATTTGCTGTATCATGTACTGTCTTATTCCCGAAAACATTTTCAGCTATCTGTCTGGAATTGCTGAAAGTACTTGTAGCTTTATCGGATTTTGCAATGTAAAATGTCATTGTCCCTTTCGAAAATAGATGCCGAATTGGTGTGGACGTTTCTTTTTCAAATGTCAGTTTTGGAAGAGTGTTAGTGCCTACATCAATTATCTCCTTTCCTTCCTTGTCCTTCCTTTTCGAATGCTTCCATACTTCTGACTCATTAAGTTCAACTTCGTTTGCTTGGGGAAAAGGAATAACGAATGTCTGCGTGGCAGTCTCGGTATCTGGAGCAAAATCCGTTGATGTGTAATCATCCACCATTTCAATTGGATCACCAAATTCGTCTATAGATGGTTCCGATGACACAAGATCAAATGCAGATTCGGGGATAAGAAAGAGTTCGTCTCCTTCTAATTCACTCAATAAACCGATGTACGGTAACGATTCGGTTGATGTTGCCATATCACAATATTCAATTGGTCTTTGATCAAAATCACGCGAAGTACCTATTGACTTGTCAAAGAGATTAATCATAGAGGTTTGTGTTGAAGTTTCTGTGAACATTAGAGAAGACTGGCCAAACGACATAGCCATAGTACCACGGTCGTGTACATCAGGTGGTGAAGGATTTGTTGCTGTATCAACCCTTTGTACAAATTCTTCTAGGCTCACGTTTGTTGACTTGTGCTTTGGAGTTGAGCATTTTCCAAGATACATGTCTGTTAGCGATCTACTCTCTGGTAACATATCTGATGTACCTACACTGGCATCGATGATTTGTTTTATATCAGTGCTTGTCTCTTTTGTTTCCGTCATTAAATCTACAAATGTTTGAGCATCCTGGCACTTTAATCTTTCGGTCAATGTTTCATTATCTTGAACAACAAGTGTGGTCTCAGTTGTCGAGTCTTTTAACTTGACAGTTTCTGTATGTGTTGCTTGGTCCATCAGTATTAAGGGGTTTGTCTCCACACTAGAATCTATTGTTGCCGGCCGAGGCGGAGATATGCCTGTACTGACCAAAACAGGATTATGTGTTTCAGTCCATTGGTCTGTAGTTGTTGATTTAGTAGTATTTGTTTCTTTATCTGAAAACACAGCAGAGAATGTCTCTGTGCTTGCTTCTACCATTGTGGGACTCAGAGGTGGTAGCATTTCTGTTAAACTCGACTGACTGGAAAGCCTATCATTCGAACCTCGACTATCTACGGATCCTTTTCCTTTGAATAGTTTCAGTAGACCACCATGCCAAGATTTTCTATTTTCAGAAGATCCCGATGGTTCCCAATGATCAGTCTGAATACAAGAATTTGACATATTTATTGGTTGTGTTAAAGTATTCATGTCTTGTTGGTTGGGTTTTACTTGCAAACCCTGATCTGAGACGGAAATTGGCGTCATTTCCGTCACTGCATCTGCCTTCTCACAAACTACAGTAAAGGTTGACCTATCAGTTGTGGATGGCGGATCTGTCCAGGTCTCAACAGAAGAGTGACAGATCGTCGGCATGGTGGTTTCACTGTCCATAAGAGAGACTTTAACGGTAGCCGTGCTTTTATCTGTTTGTCCAGCATAATCGGTCCCAATTTTCTTAGTGGACTGAATCACTTTCGGAGTTTGTGTATCACATGTTTTATTTTCTACTTTGGTTTGCATTTCTGAGTCTCTTGTACGGGGTGAATTGGTGACAGTAGATGCATTTCTAGTTGGCACGACTGGTTTCATTTCCATAGTTGTCATTGTCGTTGTATCTCGAGTAGATATCTTATGTTTCTTTTCATTGATACACTCTAAAATGATCGGATCCAGAGCTATTGTTCTTGTTTCTCGCTGAGGCATGCCTGTCATTGCACCACAAGAAAGGCTTCTTTCTGGTATATGTCGCAAGTTCGGAACAGAGAGACTCATTTCGTCTACACTTTCATTTGACATGGAAAGATCAGTTTGAACTCGCCTACTCCGTATCAAACTTCGTCTTCTCCGCCGCCATTCTTTGGGATTTCCCTCTGCCGAATCAAGGACAATAACATCTTGAACACAAGGGGCAGTGTTGAAATTTGATGAGGCAATGTTGACCTCAGATTGTAAATCTTGACAGCATTTCACACAAATACCGGAACCTTTAGAGCCAACATTTGAAAAGGTTTGCATACAAGCATCAACGGTTGGAACTGGTGTCAGGGAACGAAGGCTACTTTGCGAACCCATTTTATGTCCGTAGTAGTTTGTGACCTCTGAAGTGTAACTGATTTCCATTTCAGATGCCACAGAACCAGTTTCGGAGAAGCTTTGTATGCTACTTTCTTTTGAACGCTTGGCCCATTCCTCATTTGCAGAGTCGTCAGTCTGGCATCCAAATGAATTCTTCTGCAGATCCATTGAATATTCTGAATTTTCATTTTCATCGGAATTACCATTGAATGTGATCTTTCCGAATTTTATTCCACCTGGAACAAATCTAATTTTAGTTGTAAAGTTGGTTACATCTTCTGGAGGTTCGGGAAGAGTGGGTTCTAAAAGCGATACTAGTTTGTTCTGCATCTCTTTCTTTAATAGTAGCATTTCAACACCTTTGTCCCTCATTATAATATCTGTCAAGTTACACGCATTTTGAAGCCCGTCTAAGTTTTCTTGGAGCCAGTCTTTATTTTCAAGAAAAGACATGATGTTTTCACCAAAATAAGATTCAACTTCTTTGAGCAGCTCTTTTTCAGTTGATCGCACTTGTTGGATATAACTAATAGCCAGGTCTCGTATATTTTCTCTCGTCTCCTTCAGAATCGTTTCACATTGATTCATAATACTGATTCGATCTTGGACAACCTCGTATCTGCTTCTACAGTTATTCAACAATGATTCCATGGAGGATTTATATTTCGAGTATCCTTCGTTGAATGAACATATTTCATGGTCCCGATGTTCCTGAAAAGTGCATACAACACAAATACAGGCATCACAAGGTTCGCAGTAAAATCGAACAATTTCATCTGGATGAACTTTACATTCAATATCTTTTTCTCCCTCAACATCAATCAAGCTATGATTCTGCGTGACTTTTGTTGTTAAATGTAATTCAACACAGGCCTTACATAGCAATTTTGAGCAATCTAGGCACTTTGAACATGCATCGTTGCTTCTTGGTCTAACAGTATGGCAAATTTCACATGGTGGGATTTTCAGTGGTCTTTTTCTGTCAATCACTTCCGTCAGATTGGCCAATAAAAAATTATCTGGAAGACGTCGAACTCCACCTGTAGGAATTTCTGTTCGTTTGCGACATAGGGGACAGGTGACGTGGCGGTTGTATAAAGAGTATCGAGAACGCGTGTTTTCCGAATCCACATGCTGCTGAATACATTCTGAACAAAACGTATGTAAGCACGTTAGTGTTTTTGGGCTTTTGTATGGTTCCAAACATATTTTACAATGAAGGAATTGGTCACTAATTTCCTGCATCAGCTTCATATTCGTAGCCATTTTTTTTAACCGATCCTTTCGCACAAAGGTTCTCAGTAAATATTCACATACCTTTTAAATTGTTCTCACGAAGCTGTTTTCTGACAGTTTTGACAATATCAATAAACTTGGAATAACTATCAGTTTTGATCAATCATTCAAAAATCTGAAAATACCAGTTTTACATTTTCTGACGTCACCTAAGTGCCGCCTCCAGCTGATTTTGGGTGAGTGCAGTTTTTTCTCTGGCAATTTTGATACCGAGGATGATCCTTTATCTGCTTACATCTCTCTATCATATTAATAAGTCAAGAGTTCCCGAAGAGCAGTTTTGATAAACCTAACAGCGGGGTCACCATAAGGCATGAAAGCTATAAAAGATGCGTCATTTCCATGGTATCCGTTTCACTGTAATCAGCAATCATAATCTTTTTTCAAAAATAGTGATCGATGCTATTTTGAAAGTAATCTCCTTGTCATTTCCATTTTTTAGCATCAAACATTTTGAAGATCCGTGTAGCATTTCATTCAGGAGTGAGCTTAGCTGCGGTAGAGGGCACCTTTTTGTAAATTACGACTTGGCAAACGTTGTTACAACGTGCTTTTCCCGTGTTTTAATCAAATGAAGGATGGGATAGCATTATCACTTCTGATGTGACCTGAAAGATAGAAGTAAATCTGTTTCAAACCAATGAGAATAATCTAAATTTAACATTTATTCATCATAATTCATTCTTTAAATATAGAAAACTCTAATGCATAATTTCGATTTTTTTTTTTTACAAAAACGACATGTAAATTAGAAAAGAAATAAATCTTTGAATATAACTATGTATTTTTAACGCAGTAGAAACCAATCTGGTGTTTTAAGCACCAAAATGTCATTTTTTTTTTAGCCCCGGCGAACGAAACAAATTTGTTACATCACTCCTACAGCGCGCACCTGATCGTAATTGCCCTCATCAGCAATTTCTGCTTGCTCAATAAAATTTGGGTGTCAAGATATTTAAAGCTCATCATGTTAAAACAGATCTTGCAAATCATCTTAAGCTATCACTTGATCTCCCTTCCCTGGCTTACTTTTGATGTAAATTAGCCATGTAACAAAGAATTTGAGAATGGTTCCAGAAAGGAAATCTCTCAGGCGTACAGCACACATTGATAAGCGTACATTCTGTGTTAGTTTTAGTATATACTACAGTGTATAGGTATGAAAAAAATCTTCCATTAATTAAAAACTTCTCATCAAAAGTTCAAACTTATCACAATAGCCTATTATTTGTATTAAACTGCACTCATTTTGTCTAGGTACGAGGGTTGATCCAAAAGTAATGTCACAACTTCGATAAAATTTCTCCTAGTCGACGTAAATTAACAAAATTTTACATGATGGAAGATATATTTATTTTAAATCAGTTCTGAAAAATTCAAATTAAAATGATTGATACTTTTCAAAATATCGAATTAAACACAAAGTGCGATTATGGTAGTCGCCGCACCTAAATAACGTCATAAAACGGATATGCGCCGTCACACACTTTTAAAAACGCCTTCCTATCGTTTTATTTAAAAAAATGATATTCACGAAACATTCACATATTTTATTTTCTTTAAGATAAATTGGCACCAATTGTACACTTTATTTATAATTTAATCCTTCATCAAAATTCTTTGAACAATACCATAAGACAAACTTAAAAGTGTCTCATATCACTCAAACTGCCACTAATCTCTTTTACGACAACGTCGACGCCATTGAACGTTTCCACCCAACCTCCTATCTTTCGGTACATATTATGTATTTCTGTCCCCAAATGATCATTTATTTACCTATTACCCGCCCAAAATCTCTGAAACCATCTATGAACAAATCTCTCGTTGACATTCTTTCCTTTGCGAGTTTGATTTACCATCATAACTGTTTCTACTTGTGATTTCCCGATTTTGAAGAAAAAATACATTACAACTCGTTTCGGTGTTTTATTCCATTTCGACATTTCCTTTCTGCAATACATCAGATATAAACAATACTGTTTATGATGAAAAAAAAAACAATGCTGCCATTTAATTTTTAACTAAAGATTAGAAAATGTCGTAAATTTTGTCTTTTGAAATATTGGACGATTAGACGATTTTTTAGATACTTTTTTAAATGTGTCTGTCTTTTTTCATTCTAACAATATTAACTTTAAAACGTAACGTTTATTTATGACGCGGCGACACCCCCTATGTTTAATGTTTTAAACGTCTATAAAATGAATTCAATTAAACATTGTGAAATGAAATTTTCAATTTTGATTAGATTTATGTTTCTGCATCTTTTGGTGCATTATCTTTGATGATATGACGCCAAATATTAAAGATATGGACACAGTGACATTACTTTTGGATCAACCCTCGTATGTACATGAAAAACATTTATATGTAAAACTCACTTTGCATAATTTTCATAAGATTGAATAAGAACCAAATTACTACATTGTACATATGGCGTTCTCTTGCTAAAAGAAGTACTTGAATATCTTAACTAAATTAAACTAAAATATGAAGGTGCAATATTGTTTTTGACCTTAACAATAAATCCGAAATGATGTAAAATTATATCTTCGTTTCATACCTTTTATTACTAAGAAAATATACGTACAAATGTCATTAGTTAAAGATACAGTCGCGAGGAAACAAAATACACAAACAACGGCATAAAAGATGGATGTGTTTACAGAAACCTTTGGTGAGAACCTCATCTTTATAACCACAGGTATTGCAAACCTGCCAGGTATTGGGGGAAATAGGAAAGCAAGTTGTTCACGGTAGGGAGAAAAACGTGGGCCGTGTCGATAGATTGATCAGAGAGATATTGTTTATGTCAGGTAAACGCTTACTATAGGGCTTTGATGAGAGATGCAATGTATTTATCAACATATGGCGAATTTATACCACAGCAAAGCTGAAGAATACAAGTACACCGTAAGATAAAGCAGTTAGAAGGATGTGTTGAAAGTTCATAATATATTTTGATAACTAATATAAATACATATAAAGACGAAACATAAAATTTTGAATGTACATTATTATAATTTTTTGACAACATGGAGGCAGAAAATTCATAGATATTCAGACATAAATTTACACTTATCCAGTTATATAAAGCTTGCATGCTGACGAAATCGAGTAAAAATAAATTCTACATGTACAGTTTTGAGGTTGTAGTTTTCAGAATGTACAGACAGTTAATGCCATCATTTGCTGAGTCATTCCCGTGATTACAGTACAGTAGCTGAATGGAACCTCGCCAATTCATACATACTTTTGGTAAGAATAAGTGTATCATCTTTTTGAAAAATAATTTTAATATAAAGAATAATTAGACACATTTTTCGCTTTTTTAGATGTTAATATAAATGGAGGAGTTGTGCAAACGCAATTTAATCCATTTATATCATATGTCGACCAGATGCCATTCGTACGGAAACAGGGAGAAAATTGTCATCCATGGGGAGGGGAAAAAAGCAATCAAGGCTTATCTTTTACTAAGAAGTCAATGAGGCATAAAGGGGCATTTAAACTTTTTATCTCTAATCCTAGAACTTCAAACAGGTTTCATTCAATCTATTGATGAGGTACTAATCAATTATCTGTTATCAGCGAAACTGTTAAAAAATAAGATTATGGAAGAAAATCGGTGAACTTTTATAAACACGTGTTCGGAAAGATTCCTTTGTTAATCGTACGAATAATTTGTAATCTTTACGACAGATGGAAAATGTACCTGATATTTTTAGGGGGCTTCCAAAAAAGTCAGTTTAATAACATTGAAAAATAAGATCGACACAACGATCAAACTTATGCTTTGATAATCACGAGACTCAATATTTTCAACTTATCATGCAAAATCAGCTGTTCTGGAACACCAGGATGTACTGCAGACTAATCCTACTCACCCAAAATCAAAGCAACGATCAGCAGATTAAATCCGAGTCATTACAAGGTAGATTTAGAATTTATCCACCTTAAATTAAAACTTAAGTTCTGGCACCACAGGGGAACCCCATTCTTGAATAAATGGTGAGTAAAGTTGTTTGGGAAGCAAAGCACACATAGGGGGGACGCTGAGTGTTATATATAGAGAACCTTGGCAAACATAAGTAACATATACTTAAATTCGTAGCTATACAAAAAGAAACGTGCCATCTACCGGGATCACTGCTTCTGGTGCAGCGCTGCACGTGGTCGACAGTAGGTTGATAAGTTAGAATTAGAGGGCCCCCATACGTACTTATCTTCCGAAAAACAATGCACATCCGGTTCTAAAGATCCCAGAATCTAATTTTTGGGAAATAAAGACAGTGAGCAAAAAACTTAATTTTTTGCCAATTGATAAAGTATATATCTTTTTAATGTTAAGTGTAAATGTATTTTGCTTTTTTCCCCCTAAGCATCAAAGATTAAAACACAATAATATTTCAGCTTGGTTAAGAGTTTGTCAAAAAAATTAAATACATAAATAGAATTAAATAAATAAATAAATAAAAAACCCAGGGAAATTGGCAATTCAATATATTTAAGACCAGGAAATATGCGACATTGATTAAATCTGATTCATCAAATAAAACAAACTTAAAAGTTTACAATATATTATAAAATCTAATTTCAACAGTAAAAACAAATTGGCATAAGTCAAAATAAGTTTATTTTTTCTCAAGCAGCTTAAATATTAATTACAACTTAAAGTACATGCTTGGCATTTTTGATGAACGATTGCTGTACACATGCAGGATGAAAAAATTCCTGGAGGAAATGATTGATATTACAGATGGGGAATTTTTCCAGTGATATTCTTTAAAGAATTTTCAGCGAAAACTATGTCATGTCAAATCCACACAGTCCATACCTTATAATTCGCTGTCATTATAAGAAATGTCTAGAATTTCTCAACTGAAGAAACTAAATTCTTTGACTTCCAATGATAAGAAAACAGAAGAATATAATTTATTTGTGTATCTTTCCCGAATGTTTAATTTCATAGAATTCTTTCAGATAACGACCCGTGGATGAGATATATCAATATTTATTCATCTGCTCATCGGGTTGTTGTACATGAAATGTACCACATCCGCCCCTCTGATATTTCGTAAATTGATAGTGGCGATGCAATTACGATAAGGTGGCCCTTTTTATTTGAACATAAGAACACACACATCTGAACATGCAGTAAAATTTAAACTGATCAAGCACATGCTGCAATAACAGGTGCTCGTATAAATGGTTCTGTGGTTACAAATTTTGCTTATTTTGTTGCCACAACATTTACCATATGTTTTGATCGGCTAACAGAAGGGAAGACTTTAAAACCTGACAACGGTTTGGAAATGAGCAGTGTCTGTTTGCCATCCAAAATGAAACAACTAGAGGAAAACTGATACTTTAAGTATAATTAAAAATTACTAACTTTGTGACATTTTGCAGGTATTTTCTTTCCGAAGATAT